GTCAATGACATGAGACAAAGTATATTATGTGAACTGCTGTATGAAAAGTTAATTTACTCTGTAAATCTTCACCCAAATCAAAATAAAATTTAAAAAAAAGAAAAAAAATACAGTAAAATATCATTTGAAATAAAACAAAAGGTTTCTCTAAAAAAAAAAAAAAGAAACTTGAACTCAAAATAAGTTTATAAAGTAAAATAATAAAGCACATGGGGAAAAGACTATCATAAAATACTGACAACATAATCCACAAATGAGAGACTTTTACTCATGAGATAATGAAAAACATTTTTCTAAAGAAAAATTTCAAATCAATGAGTTTAAATTCCTTAAAGGAAAAAAGAACAGCTATAGAAATAGGGAATAAATCATGAAAAATATTAATTTTGAAGATTTATAGATAAACATGAATTAGAAATGAAAATTGAGAAACCTGCAATTAATGGAATAAATTATATATTAGACAAAGAAATAAGAGAATTTGTGAATTGGAAAACACTATTGAGGAGGATTTAGACATTTCTCAGAAAACTAGAGGTGGAGAATATAACATAATTTAAGATTCAAAAATTCTAATATGTTTTATTAGATTTCTGAAAGTAAAGAATAAATGATGTAATATGTAAAGAAATAATGCTGAGAATTTTCCTTACCTGTGTTCTCAATACTCAGAAGCTGAGTTTAAGAACTGAGCAAGATGAATAAAAATAAGTCCGTTCCTAGATGCATTCTAGGGAATCTGCAGAACATCAAGATTAAGTGAAAATAAAAACCTTTTAATTGTTGTTGTTTGCCATTGAGTTCATTCTGACTCATTGTGACCCCATGTGGCAGAGTAGGACTGCCCCATAGGGTTTCCTTGGCTGTAATCTTTACTGGAGCAGGATTACCAGGTCTTTTCTTCTATGGAGTGGCTGGTGGGTTCAAATCATAGACCTTTCGATTGGCAGCCAAGGGCTCTGTTCTTTAAAAACCAGAGAGTGAACAAAACCACACGAGAATGACAGATAAATAGCAGCCTTGTTACTAACAGAAGGACAACCTTTGAAGTTATGAGGCAAAATAACTTTTAACCTGCAATTCTATGCCCAGCCAAATGATCATTCAGTACAAGGATGAAATGAAACTATTTTTAGATGTACAGAGACTGTTTTTTACCTACAGATTCTTAATGAAAGAACTATTACAGATGTACTTCAGCAAGAATAAAAGCAAACCTAGAGGGAAGAAGTGTGATAAAAAGATACCTGTAAAACATTTAGTAAATCTCATTAATTACTAATATTTTTAAAAAATAAATAGTTAAAAAACTCAACTAAATTTACTGTGTTTTTAGAAAGGTAAGATTACAATTATAGATTGTATTAATACAGAAGATGGATTGCATAGAAGTTAAAAAGAAGTTAGTGATAAAATCCTTGTCTAATCCAGGAAGAAGTCTTTGCTCAGAAGATATGAATGTTATGTATGGTATGGTAAAAATTTAAGGCTAGCCACTAAAAGAATCAAAATATCATACTTGTAAAAAGTTGAACTAGCAAACGTTGTGTGATATTTACAATAATGACAAAAAAAAAAAGTATAGCTGCTTATGTACAACCAAACTCCTCTTGGGATTTGATTCCTTGGTTTGGAAGTTTAGAATAAGGTTTCATGGGACATGCTGGGTAATTGGCCTAATAACCTGTTTAGTGCTTCTGTTCTCCCTTGTAGTTCATTGAATAAATCCTAGGGTCTTAAAAGCTTGCATGTAGCCCTTCAGGGCACAACAACTGGTCTCTATTCAGATGGAGAAACAGAGGAGTAGGAAGAGAGAATGGAATGTGTGGCTAATGGCCTCCATGATCAACTTCCTCTTTTTCCATCAGAAGAACTAGATGGTGTCCAACTTCCATTACTGAATTTTTTTTTTAACCAAAGATTGTGTAAGATAATCCTGATTTAAAGGGGGGGGAAATGTGGAACAGAATTTCAAATTCTCATGGACTTTAAACTTTTTGGAGCCGTGGAGACTGATGAACACCTGAAACTGTTGCCTTGAAATTATCTTCAAACATAAACCAAAAATATCCCCTGAAATCTTCCTAAAACCAAACAGTAGTTTAACTTAACTAGTAAAAAATGTCTGCCGTGAACATTATACTCTTTTAAGAGCTATCTGCATGAGATCAAATTGAAAATAGTAACTGGAAAGCTTAGATAAGAACTTTAGGGGGCAATGAGTAGAGGAACAGCTCAGAAAATGAGAGTAGGATTGGTTGCACAACTCAAACAATGTTGAGTTGTACACGTATAAACTGTTGAATTAGTGTATGTTTTGCTATGTATATTCTCAACTACAACAATAACAAGATAAATAAATTTTTTTAAAAAAAGAATAAAAATTTCTAAGCAAGCAGAATAAAAGAGAAAGTAAACAAAGGTTTTTCAGTTTAACAAAAGGCAGGAGAAGGAAGAAAAGTAGCTAAGCTGGATAGATGGGTGAACAGGGTGAACAGGCTGAACGATTAGGTATATCTATGCGGGTGTGTGTGTGTGTGTGTGTGTGTGCCCATGACCATGGATAGGGTTGGCAGACAATGTTTCTACAAGTGTATTTGTATGTTCTGTACAGTGGCGTAGTGCCTAAGGCATTTGACTGCTAACCAGAAGGCTGGTGGTCTGTTCCTTGGAAGGAAGGTTGGGCAATCCCTATGGAATACCCCCTTGGAAACCCAAGAAGGGGTCGCTATGAGTTGGATCCGACTCGATGGCAGTGAGTTTGTTTTTTCTCTTTTTTGTTTAGTAGAGCTGACAAGGGACAAGGTTGTAGTCACTTCTTAGCCACAGCCAGTGACCCAGAGGGAGTGAGTAGTTAGACCTGTGGGCTCAGGACCTTGGTCTCAGGGGACATTAAGTTCAATTGGCATAACATACTACACAAAAACATTGTTCCACATCCTGCTTTGGTGAGGAGAGACTGGGATCTTAAAAGCTTGCAGGCAGCCATCTAGATGCAGTGATGGGTCTCTCCTCACAGCAAAGAAGAATGAAGAAAACCAAAGACACATGGAAATAATTAGTCCAAGGGACTGGTGTACCATGTGATCCTCAGCCTATATGACTATGAGACCAGAAGAATTAGATGGTGCCCGGCTACCTCTGTCAACCACTTGGAGGTGGATCTATGTAGGAGATCCTGGATAGAGTGGGAGAACAATGTGGAACAAAACTCAAAATCGTAAAATAATAATAAAAGAAAAAGGACCAGGTTTACTGGTCTGGTAGAGCCTGATGGAATCACTGAGACTATGGCCCCTAGCTGCCCTTCAGGTCTGGAATTGAACCCAGTCCTGTGGCTTCCAGCCAAACAAAAGACAGGCATATGAGATGAACATTTACGTTAGGTAGATACACTCCTTGGAGAGATCAATCATGGTAGAATAGAAGGGCTTTGTATGCACAGGGAGACAGCTTGAGGGGCAGGAATGCATGGGAGGGAAATACACAGGGAAGAGGTGACTATGGGGAAAAAGTGGGAAGAGAGCTGTTGTGTTGTGGGAAACTGCAGTCAATGTCATGAGACAGTGTGTGTGAGCTGCTATGTGGAAGGTGAATTTGCTCTATAAACTTTCACCCAAATCACAATAAAAATTAATAATAATAATAAAATACCCAAGAAAAATCGAGGTAAGTAAAAAACACAGAAGAAGATGGTAGATATAAGTATAAAATATGTCAGTTCATGAAATATTTATATATGGATTAAATCAAACTATTAAAGAGACAGATGATTGGATTAAATTTACTTCCAAATTGAGCTGTGTGCTACTTAAAAAAGACACTTAGAAAATGAAACCTCAAGGAAAAGTTTACAACAAAGAAAAATCCTGGCAAATACTTGTTATTCTTGATGTACTTCCAAGATGGTATAGCAGTATTCATATCAGATCATATGGAATTCAACCTGAAAAGAAATCTGTAAGGTTAAAGACGTATATGTGCCTGCACTTATTAGAAATGTACCTGAGATTCCTTGCCTTGTCTTTCATTATCATCACTTCCTTGCATACTCTCTTTGCTTCCCTGTCCCTTGATAGTGAATGCCTGACAGAGCTATCCTGATTAAATCTACCTTTCTGCCTGTTCTGCTTTGTATCTCATGCTTGAAAACGTGGCTGGAGACAATAGTTGATTATATTGACTAGATCTTTTTACATTCATAATTGCTAACCTCAATTAGGCAGTATTATCCCAAAGTTCTACTGTATTTCCCCAGTCACTATCTCTTCCATTCTCTTCAGACTGTTTCGCATCTTCTTATTTCTCTTCAAGTTTTGACCAGCCCATTCTAGATATTTCAAATAAGTTAAATCATATAATATTTGTCCTTTTGTATCTGATATTTCATTCAGGCAGCTTTGCTGAATTCATTTATTATCTCTAGTAGCTTTGTTATGGAACCTTGTGATTTTCTATATATAGAATCATGTCATCTGCAAATAGATACTTCTTTCTGATTTGGATGCCTCATTTCTTTTTCTTGTGTAATTGCTTTGGCCAGAACTTTTAGCACAGTGTTGAATAGCAGTGGTGAAAGCAGGCAACCTTATTTTGTTCCTGATCTTTAAAGGAAAACATTTAATCTTTCACCATAGAATATGATGTTTGCTATGGTTTTTTCATAAATGCCCTTCATCATGTTGAGGAATTTTCCTTCTATTCCTAGTTTACTGTGTATTTTTAATCATGAAAGAGGAGAGGGGGCTTCTTAACCTGAGGATCAAGGTGGTGTCTGTGAACATCAAGAGATTATTATATGTTCAGTTTTACACTGACATGCGTTTTTGTCAGATTCTCAGAGTAGGCACAGAACCCCTCTTGAGTCCGAAATCTGGGCCTCCTCTTCCCTCTCTCCTCCTTTTTCTTTCTCCTGTTACCTTTCTTAAAAGTTATTAATTAAAATAATACCACCTTAAAGGATTCAGTTGTGTCTAACTTTTTGCATAAGTTTAGATTGCTTTGTCTTCTACTGAATGTCTTAAGAAGCCATTAGGTGTGGTAAGTAATAGTTGCTGGATAGTTACCTGATATAGATCCTGGCTTTGCCCTTTACTTACTGCTAGACCTTGAATTCATCATTTAACTTAGCTAAACTTCAGTTTCCTCTTTTGTAAAAATGGAGATAATAATAGTACTTATAATTAAAATCGATGTAAAATTGTTACAAAGATAAAATGAAGTATAACTGTATGACAAGTGCTTAGTGTAGTGCCTGGTACCTAGCAAGTGTGCCATGAAAGGCAGTGCTCTGTAAATGTTAGATGATGTTGCAGCACTTATTATTATTTTGCTACTTTTATTTTTATCAGTAGTTGTTGTTGTTGTGTTGTTGTTATGTGCCGTCGAGTCGGCCCCGACTCATAGCGACCCCTCCTTGGGTTTCCGAGGCAGTATCACTACGGAAGTAGGATTGCCCAACCTT